TTATTATTATCATATTATAATGATAATAATAATAATAATAATAATGAAGAAGAGAAGAAAAAAAAGAAAAGAAAAAGTGTCCTCCAATGGGGGGGTGGTGGTGGGTAAAAAAAAAATCATAAAAAACGCCTACTGTTTACATGAGTTTTGTGGTGTAGTAATAGTTCTAGTTTACGACCCCGGGGTAACACTGGCAAGCTAGCTTCCTCGCTAATATAACAACAATCTCCAAATCCCCAAAAATAAACTTGTGACTACACGCGTAGCCAAAACAATCGCGAATTACATTTACAACAATACAGAGTTAAACTTAAACAGTTTATTTGAGGAAATACTCACCATCAGAGAAAGCTGATCCAACATGGAGGGAGACCCACGACGTAGGATTGTAGATGAAACCCCTGAAAAAGTGTCGAAATGCACATGTCCACCGTAGTTGGCCCAGCCTCAGACCAAGTCTAACTTAAACCCACTGATTTCAATAACTGTTTTACAGTTTGTGGGAGCTAATTGCTAAAGCTGATGGCAAGATGTCGGTCATGCATACGTTTCGTCTGCTGCGGTTTGTGAGGCTGGTTCACTTCCTTCCCTACCTGAAGCAACAGCTGCTCGTGCTGAAGATGACCCTGCAAAAGGCAGCCGTGCTCTGTGGGCTGCTGCTGTTTTTCATGTTGATTTTTAGGCCTCCTACCAAATGCTATGCTATAATGATTATCACCTACGAGAGGCATACTGTACATGAATTACCATATTGTCTTGATCCTTTGCAGTGTATTGGGCATGCAGCTGTTCAGCGACAAATTCAGTTAAAAGGCACTGAAGGGAGACATCATCACAGACCGGAAAAACTTTGACAACCTACTCTGTTACAGTCACCATGAGGTGACAAAAGTTTGTCGTCATCATTGTTTTCCATTATCATGCAGTTTGTGCCCCAATCTGCGTGTGTGTTACTTTCTTCTATTTAATCTGTCAATCCAGATTTTGACTCTAGAGGACTGGAATCTGATGCAAAGCAACGCCACTGCTGCTACCTCACTGTGGGCCGCTCTCTACTTTGTTGCACTCATTGTTATTGGAAGATGTTCTTCTCAACATACTCATAGGCATTGTTGTTCAGAGCTTCCAGGATAGGGTGAGGACTTGGATGCAAGCTAGATGTACACACCAATGCTGAACTCTATTTCCTGTTGTTGCAGTCTCCCAATCAAGAATCCACCCTCTTCACTAACAGATGACGAGACAAATGTAAGTTCTTAAGATTCCAAATTGTGTTTCAGAATCCAAAGAGAGGTCCAATGGCAATCTACTTTTTTACTTCTACCTTGTTGAGGTAGCAGTTGCAGTGTGGAGAATCAAGGTGTTTGCAGCCAGCATATAAACAGTAAACAGACGGACATGAAATGAAATGCACATGAAATATTAATTTAATGAAACCTTTTGATTGTTCTTTCCGTAAAATGAAGTGAGTAGTTAAACTGTGGAGAATCTAACTGATCTAACGATGTGCGCTATGGGTCGACATATGACAGAGAGTTAAACGGAGAGCATATTCAGTGCCCCCTCTTCAGGGTTCCATAATCTGTATTCTTGTGCTCTGACGTACAAGTAGGGTTTAGATGTTTGACAGGTGTTCAACGAAAGACGAGCACTGATGTGTTTCTCGCATACTGGCCTATAACGGTAAGGACGCTCTTTGGTCGATGCGCTCGGGTCTGAAACGATCGGTTTTAGCTCCTGTCTATTTAAAGCCCCCCTCCCGAAAAGCAGGGAGTGGCACTAGTCTGCCAAACCAGGAGGCTGAGACCATTGTGGATGCGCTGGTAGAGGGAATGTTCAGCAGGTTTGGGTGCCAGAGGTCATCCACACCGACCAAGGCAAGAACTTTGAGTCCCGTGTGTTTGCGTGTTTGCAGCGACCCGTCAGAGCCGACGGCCGGTGGAGAGATTTAACCGCACATTAGCACAGCAGCTAGCCCATAGTGACAGCTAAACACCAACGTGAACTGGATACACATGTTTCCCCTGGTGTTAATGG